CAAGGGTCACCTACTGCAAGCTCAGGAGTGTTGCATCCCCACTAGAAGGAAGTGCAGCCGGAGGGCCAGGAGACCTGCTTGGATGGATAGGAGCCGCTGAGAAAAATTCGAAGGAAAAAAGAGGTTTATAAAACATGGAAGTAAGGACAGGCGGCCTGGGAAGAATACAAGGATGTTGTCTGGGAAGCTAGGGCCAGGTTAGGAAAGCTAACGCCCAGTTAGAATTAAACATGGCTAGGCCTGTTAAGGATAAGAGGAAGGGATTCTATAGGTAAGTAGCAAATAAAAGACAGACTAGGGACAACATAGGCCCCCTCCGGAATCTATCAGAACTGGCTACCTTGGATTTGGAGAAGGCTGAGGTTCTGAATGACTTCTTTGCCTCGGTCTTCACTAGCAAAGGCTCTGACCACACCACCCAAGTCTTGGAAGGCAGACACAGGGACTGTGAGAATGAAGACCTTGTGCCCACTGTAGGAGAGGATCTGGTTCGAGAAAACATCTTAAGAACTTGAATGTTCACAAGTCCATGGGTCCTGATGAAATCCATCTGCAGGTCCTGGATGAGCTGGCAAATGAAGTTGCTAAGCCACTATCCATCATACTTGAAAAATCATGGCAGGCAGGTGAAGTTCCTGACAACTTGAAAAAGGGAAATATAACCCCCATTTTCAAGAACAGGAAAATGGATGACCCAGGGAATTACAGGCCAGTCAGTCTCACCTCTTTGCCTGGCAAAATCTTGGAGCAGATTCTCCTGGAAGGCATGCTAAGGCACATGAAAATCAACAAGGTGCTTGGTGACAGCCAGCATGGCTTCACTAAGGGGAAATCCTGCCTGACCAATTTGGTGGCCTTCTATGATGGGGCTATGGAACTGATGGACAGGGGTAGAGCAGCTGATGTCATCTACCTGGACTTGTGCAAAGCGTTCAACACTGTCTCACACGACATCCTTCTCTCTAAATTGGAGAGAGATCAATTTGATGGATGGACCACTTGATGGATAAAGAACTGGCTGGATGGCTGCACACAGAGTCAATGGCTCAATGTTCAGCTGGAGACCAATAATGAGTGGTATCCCTCAGGGATCGGCGTTGGGACTGGTCTTGTTCAACATCTTTGTCGGTGACATGGACAGTGGAATTGAGTGCACCCTCAACAAGTTTGCTGATGACACCAAGCTGTGTGGTTCGGGTGATATGCTGGAGGGAAGGAATGCCATCCAGAGGGACCTTGACATGCTTGTGAGGTGGGCTGATGCCAGCCTTATGAAGTTTAACCATGCCAAGTGCAAGGTCCTACACCTGGGTTGGAGCAATCCCAGGCACAGCTACAGGTTGGGCAAAGAAGAGATTCAGAGCGGCCCTGCGGAGAAGGACTTGGGGGTGTTGGTCAATGAGAAAATGAACATGAGCCGGCAGTGTGTGCTTGCAGCCCAGAAAGCCAACCATATCCTGGGCTGCATCAAAAGGAATGTGACCAGCAGGTAGAAGGAGGTGATCCTGCCCCTCTACTCTGCTCTTGCAGACCTCACCTGGAGTATTGTTTGCATTTCTGGTGTCCTCAACATAAAAAGGACATGGAACTGTTGGAACAAGTCCAGAGGAGGCCAAGAGAATCGTCAGAGGACTGGAGCACCTCCCATATGAGAGGTTGGGGCTGTTCTCCCATAAGAGAAAGTTGGGGCTGTTCAGCCTGGAGAAGAGAAGGCTGCGTGGAGACCTCATGGCAGCCTTCCAGTATCTGAAGGTGGCCTATAGGGATGCTGGGGAGGGACTCTTCATTAGGGACTGTAGTGATAGGACAAGGGGTAATGGGTTCAAACTTAAACAGGGGAAGTTTAGCTTGGATATAAGGAAGAAGTTCTTTCTTGTTAGGGTGGTGAGGCACTGGAATGGGTTGCCCGGGGAAGCTGCGAATGCTCCATCCCTGGTGGTGTTCAAGGCCAGGTTGGACAGAGCCTTGGGTGACATGGTTTAGTGGGAGGTGTCCCTGCCCATGGCAGGGGGTTTGGAATTAGATGATTTTAAGGTCCTTTCCAACCCTAACTATTCTATGATTCCTATATATCCCATTAGTCCAAATATCGTAAGTATGGAAAAACTAAGGACTCCACAGTGGCTAATGGAATACTCTGTAAGTGGGCAAAGCAGCTGCCACAGTTGACTTCCCAGACTTTTCTCCACTCTTCTCAAGGGGAGGGGGACAAGGAAAAACTAGGGCAACTGTTGTTGTCACATGATCAGTGCTTAATACAACAGCCAGCTAGCAGTGTCTTGGCCCTTTGTACATAGAAACCCCTGCATCCCACCCCAGACAGGGGTGCTGCACAAAAAAGTTATGATATCCTCTTTCAAAATTGAGAAGTGGTGATGTGCATCTTTGCACGTGTCTCTATTTCCTTCACCATAGGTTTATGATACAACATAAGAAAGCACACATACACGTGTATGTATATATATATATACATGCACACACAAACTGACTATTCAGGTTGAATACTTCAATTAATAGCAGTTGCACCAAAGCAGCAACCATGCAGCAAGGACAATTCACCTTCCTTGGAGTTATTCAAATGATGTGTATATGTGGCACTTAGCGACATAGTTTAGAGGTGGACTTGGCAGTGCTCGGTTAAAGGTTGGACTCGACTATCATAAGGGTCTTTTCCAACCTAAATAATTCTATTATTCTATGACCATTCACACCAGAAAAAAAAAAGCAAACACATAAGATACAGACATATTCTGATAGAATAATTTCTCATTGCTGTTTTACCTGATTTTTCTCAAATGCATGGAGCTTTAGATTTACTGTTATTTTTTCAATATTACAGATTATTTGCTGGTTCCAGTTGCACTTAATTAAGAAAGTAACATTTTAACACACTCCATGTGCTAGAAGAGTCAAATCCACATTATTTCACATTAATTCCCTGCACCCTGCATTTTCTCATCAGTGAAAAGCTCAGTAGCATAAATTTTGCCCTGGAAAAATGAAATATTAGAGCTTTACATGAACTCTTTACTGATTTAACATCTCTCTTGGGCTGATCTCTTGACTCTTCTAGTAAGGAATGGCTAAAGGGCGTAAGTGCTCTTGCAGAGGCTACTTGAATGACAGTGTTTGTCTCCCTGACTCATTCCATCAGGACACATTCCTGCGCAGGTTTATTTTTCTGCTGCAATTTTTATCTTACACAGGGTAAAAACTGCTGGTCACCCAAGGTCTTAATAAGTTTAACAATGTTTTCAGCAGCGATGTAATGTTGTATTTGAAAACACAGTATCTCCCCACTTTCCATTTAATGCTGTTCTACACAAAAAAAGTCAACTGACCTCTTCATGCAAACACAACTGCAAAGGCATCCAAAACTTTTGTTGAAGGCCACCTACCTTTTCCATGAGTTATCAGAAACAAAACAAGTAGCCTATTTAAAAGTGAGTAACAATGAATGGCTGTTCTGGGCTGGGAAAGGTTTACATACATCCTCACAGTTCTCTTTATTCAGAGCTTGTAAATAATAGCCTGCATGCCCTGCAGCCACTAATTTAGCACCATGTTGTGACTCCCTCTTTTCCTCTCCATTTGCCTCAAGCAAAGTCAAGTTCTAGTTCTAGTGACCTTTTTCTTGGCCAATACATATGGAACTGGTTTGTGTGACCTCAGTACTGTTTTGCACAAAGCACTAACTATGTTGTACAAAGCAAATATTACAGTTTGTTGACCATAAAATTCCTATGACTGGGCTTAAGTTGGTTTGTCTATGCATTGCTGAATACCTAAAAGTAGGACTAAGTTTTCTTGAAAAGGAAAACATTTTGTTTAGTTAAGGTGCAAAACATTGCTAATTCAGGCGCTATTCTGCTGCTATGGTGAAAAAAGGAAATCTTTAAGGAATGAAAAAAATTCTGATATTTAACAGTTCTTGGGTTTTCTCCTCAGGCGGGATTCTTGTAAGATGAAGACAGCGTCCCTCAAAGGCTATACGCACAACAACAAGTAGTTAAACCACCTGTAACACTCTATGTTTTTTCACACAAAAGAGAACATCTGGTGGTCAGAACAGATAATACATACAGAAGGAAATATCTCTCTTACATAGACTGTTTACAAAGCCACTTCTGAAATTTTAAATATTGTTCTGAATGCCTTGCTTACTTTTCCAGGAGAGATGTCGCCTTCCTGTGCTAACACAAGACAGATTGCCACAGAACACCAGCTGAGTGCTAACATTTGCTCTTTATGACATATCCCTCTACAGACTAGACCAAATTCTGCTTTCCTTCTTATTTTGGCAACTACAGTATAAGTAACAGTTGCACAGTGTCACTGTGAATCACAAGTTTTGCTTATGATCGCTAGAATGCAGCTCACATTAGACCACTTTTCTTCCTTAATTCTGTAATCCCCATGGTTTATCATCTAGAGATACACAGCGTGTATAGCTAACAAAACCCAAGCAGCTCTTACCACGCATCTCATTTTCCCTTCACATATATGAAACACTCCTGAAGAGTTTATACAAACAAAAGAAAATCTTTCCTTGTACTCTTTTCTCATCTGGGCCTCCTGAAATGCAAAGTGCAAAATTAAATTCCCACAAACAGTAAAACAGTCCATTGCTCTTCCTGCACCCTGCTATTTCACATGCACACAATGTGGTAATTGCTTTTGCTTGACTTGTTCAAACAGCCATTTTCATGACGTGACAGCTAGGGTACTAATATATTTATGCTCCTTGTAATCGGCCAGCACTGCTTGTAATTAGGTGCAAAGTTAATTAAGTGCAATACATCTAATAACTGCCTGCCAGTAATAGTAAAGTTTGATTTAGTACATGAACTGTCAAGGTGTCAGAATGGTGTGTTAAAAAAATAAGTTGCGAACAGAAAAACAATCCTGCCACAAGCCACAGAAAAGCACTGAGACAACGAGACAGTTGAGAAAAGGAAAAGACACTCAGTATTTCTGACACTATGAAATGACCCCACCCGCATGTTGGTAAGTTGCATCTTGCTTTATTGAACATCAAATTTTAATATACTTTTACTTATAAGCCAATATCATCTTCTATAGACAACCCTTCCCCTTAAAAGCTATACATATGGTATAGATTTTTTTTACATCTGTAAACGTCAGTAAAAGATTTAATTAAAAAAAATAAAATGCATAAAGAGGGTTATGAAAAGAACCATGAAAGCCCATACAGTCATATTTCATGTTTAAAGATCTGCTTTTATTTGTTTCTTTTATTGCACAAGATGCAGCTTTTCTTCTAGTGAACTTAAGAGAACATTATGCATATTCCAAGTATTTAGATTTATATTTAATACCAGCATAAATAATTATGCTGTAGTTGTCTGTGCTTTAGTTAATTTCAATTCTTTACTAGGGAAAAAACTATGCTGTTCATGGCTTTATTCACTAGAGGATATCCTTTCTCCAAACCAGTTTCAAACTTCCTGATTTCAACTGTTTACTTGTACCTTTACTTATCTCCAGTTTTCTTGAAAACCATCTTCTCTCGTAATGAGTGATCATCCCTTCTCCACAAGCACATGACTTTTCCAGCTCCATATTCTTCTTCCTTAAATTCAACCTTGGATAGCTCAAATGTTCCCTTCACCTCCTTCCCTGTACGATATGAACTGAAAATGTTCTCTTCCTCATGCTAGGCAGTCAGAGCAGGTCTCAATAAAAGCACACCTGTTCAGCAGGGAAGCACAAAAAGAACAAATGAGACAAGTTCTATACATAGACTAATTTAGGACTAGGTGTACATTATATTAGAAGTTAAAGTGAGCACAAATTATGACATATGTATGTACCACAGCAGCACAAAATGTATGCATAGTTCAATAACACTTTATTAATACGGAGGTATGAAGCTCGGAAAATTACCTGTATAAAATACCAAGAGGGAAAGCATGGACAATGCTCTGAATTTTTTTTAGGCCAGTAGATGCAAATAAATTGATGGAATTTGTACTCATATAGGATAGCCCCAAACCCTGAGAAATAAAACTAACATCAAGGACAACATTGCTACTTCCAAAGCAATCACCAGTAAAGCTTGCTTTCTGAAACACTTCACAAAAATCAATATCAGATAAGATAATCTTTCTGGCTAGTTGTTATCAACTGATATTTGATAAAGGAATTTATGCTCCAGATTGACATGAAATTAATAATGCTTGTTGTGTGGTGCCCAATGACAAAGGTAAATGCTAATAGCTCTGAAATCCTGATGATTGCCAAAGTACTCTTCCGAGCTTTGATTAGTGCTTGTGTTGTGTAATTATGCTTTTCTATAATTACTGTGAATTACCATCATGATATTATTATTCTCATATTTTTTATTCCTCTGAAATTCTCAAAACTTCCTGCAGCTAAAAATGGATTTCATTTGCATTATCACAGGCTTTGATTGTTTAATGAAAAATAATTCCATGCAGACTCTCATGTTAAATTGTCCATTTAAAATTTTCCTGTTAATCTAGACTATGTTGAAGTGTCCCTTCTTTCATTTATCATTTGCCTTTATCACAGTCACTGCCCCCCCCCCCCCCCCCCTCTTCATGCTACCTTTTGGAGAGAAGAAGAAAAAAGAAAAACATTTTTGGTCACATCCCTGTCTTCTGCCTGGAAGCCGTTTTTTCTGCATGTTGTCCCTTTTCCTTACAATTCCGTATTTGGAAAGCTTAAAAATGCCAGGACTTTTCAGCAAAATGTGGTTACTATGCTAAAAATACAGTTTTTCTGCTTGCAGCAGGCTCTACAGAAGGCTACCTTGGACTTGTCTAAGTCTCAGAACTATGCCCTAAGCAAGTGAGATACTCAAGGGTCATCCTTGTCTATGTCTGAGGGCTACTGGGTATTTCCTTCAGAAATTAAAAAAAACACAACAAAGAAATAAAAATAAGCCATTCATTTGCATTGTCTTATTTTTGCCCATCGTTAAACATTAACTGATTCTCTTTTTCCTTTTTCAGTAATTTTACAGAACATCTGACGTTTTACAAAGCAATAAGGGTTTTGAGGGCTTCCAAAAGCCTTGCTCCATGGCAGCTTGCGAAACCTAAGTGCAACTATGCTGGGGGGGTGGAAACACTCAACCATGTACTAACAATGCTATAATTAAAATGTAGTTTAAACCATGATCAAGGCTAATCTTCAATGAACCTTCTTAGGAGCAGAAAGTAAAGAGCAATTGATTTAGGTTTCTGGATAACAGATGCATTTCAAAATGCATTTAGTACCAGAACCATTCAAAAGCCAAGTTGCAAAAATTGTGGGAAATGTGGATTTTTAAGAGCATATAGGAGCCTTTCTCAGATGCAATGAGTTTAATAATTTAAAAAAAAACAACCAGATAGACATGACCTGCAAAATTAAACAGTATGAAGATAGCCAACAACCTAAAGGTCATCTGAAATTTTAAATACTTCTTCCTACATATATAACTTCTGCATAAAGTGTGTTTATGTTTAAATAGATGGACGAAAGGAGATAGATCTATTCTTCAGAATATACTGAAATTCAGCTTTTTCTTGGTTTACATACAAAGTTTTTAAATCTCTATTGCAACAAGACTGGAAAAATCTTGTGATTCTTCTATAGTTTTGACAGTCTTAAGGTCTGATTTGTGTGTTTCTCAGTCTAGCTCAAGTTTACCATCATTTTGCTGACTCGACATTAAAAGCCTTCACTGCGATATTTCTACTAAGAGTAATTCAGTTATCTTTTAAATAGCTTTTTTGAGCTATTTTGTGATGTATTCACAAATGCTAGACTAGAAGATGGTCTAGATAACTGAACTTTTGTGTTTTGCTACACACAGAATATTATTTTGTTATTCTGCCTCCCTCATTTCTTTCCAATCTTTTTCAACTGGTTCCATTTTCACACCATATATGCACCTGATTTTTCTCTCTCACACGAATCTCCTGCGCAAAATGCTAATATAACATGTGCAGTCACAATTTCACACTTATAATAGTCAAACAGGTTCAAAGTTAGAGTAGGTTTGACCTTGCCTGTATATATACTTGAGGACATGGAAGCCTGAATAAGACAAAGGAAAGTAAACTTTTTTTTTTAATCTCATATAAAGATACTTCTAAAGTTTTTTTTTTCCTCCCCCATTTTCTCCGTGGATAATAACAAACGGAAATACTCCATCTGTAACTTTATTGTGATGTGTGGAATATTGAGCACACATTGAACATCTGTGGGTTGCATCTTTCAAAGCAGTACTCCCTCAGTAAGATTTCGTAATGACAGCTAAGGAACGCTGGTTTTTGAAGCAGCAATGTACACACAGGATACCTGGACTTCTTTTCATTTGTTTGTCAGCACTGTGAACCTGTTCTCAGTATTTCATAGATGAACCTTTGTTCCACCATGGTGTGTACACATCCTGATAAGCATGTGCTACACTGCCATCTCTAACATGGCCTAAATACTGGTTCCATGTTTCCAAAAGCAGCTAGGGCTACGAAGTGAATGACCATGGCAGTGACACTGATAGTAAGATTAGTATATAGTACACTTTCATCCCAGTCTGCTTCATACCAGCTTTACTTGAAGTCACACTCTATTAAGAAGGGCTGTTATTTTTAGATGCCCAAAATAAGGTTACACAAACAAGCAGGAACAAGTCATGCATTGTGCATCGACCTTGCCAATAAGCCAACCTTCTGCAACTGGAACCAGTATAATGTGGGCAGTGAAGGCTGTAAGATTTGCATGAAAAAGAGTTTGCGAATGAGCTCTGAGGCTTTGGTGCTTGGGAAGCACTGGGGTGATGAGTTGGAATGTTGAAGGACAGAACCTCAGGAGGATGGGCCAGGATGTAGTCCTGGCAGGAATCTCAGTTGTAGGCCAGAGATTGTGGGGGTTGTGAAAGGGTCTGCAACATTGTGATTGGACTATTTACCTGGAGAGTTTCACAGTGGCCAGTGAGATTGAATGTTATATGTATGTGCAGGTTGGGAAAGTACCGAACAGGGGAATAAAAAGGGTTGGTGGTGATGTGCAGATAAACTCCACAACTCATTAAAAGTTGTAAAGTAGGTATGCTTTTTATTCAGCGCTGAGACGCACGGGGATAATTCCTCAAAGTCATACGTGCCTCAGTGTTGTTTTCCTCTACATTTATTCTCTAAAGTTATATTATTCATAAGGTTGCACAACACGCCTATACATATTCATGTCCTATCCCCGCTTCATATTATAATGAGCCAGAAGGTCCTTTGCGCCTGCGCAGTGCCCTCTCTGGTCATGGGCAGGGGTCTCAAGATGAAGCAAATGAGTCTTCCTCCTGTGGGTAGGGGTCCTCAAGATGAAGTAAATGAGTCTTCCTCTTCTTGAACTTTTCACCTTTTAGTCTTCAGTATGGCCTCAGGGTTTGGTCGGTGTCCCAGCCATAAACCCTCTGCTTCTCCCCCTTATCAGTAGATTCAGGCACCTGCTTTTCCTTATCAATAGCTGCTTATCAATAGAACCAAGTGTCTGCTTTTCCTTATCAATAGGACCAGGTGTCTGCTTTTCCTTATCAATAGGACCAGGTGTCTTTGTTCTGCTTAGCAGGCATTTACAACAAACAATACTTTTGTTTAAGCAAGCAAATTCCTCTAACCCCCTTGTACAACCCCCCTGTACAACCCCCTTGTACAACCCCCCTGTACATTGGTCAACCCTCTGCATCAGTGGTAATAAACGAGGATTTGAGTCTCTGCATCATCTTGAGTCTGTGTTGTGAAATGCCACAAATGGCGCCCACCATGTGGAGCATGAAAACCGACTAGCTGTCGATCCGGTGGCGTAGCTCAGCCGAACTGCTTGCTGAATGTAAGCAAAGGTCTACGCTGAAAGGAAGTGAATTCAAACAGTACGGATTGCGTCTCGCAGGATGGGGGTAAGCGGCTGAGAATTACGGGGTCTGCTTTAACAAAAGAGCAGGGAAATGTTCTAGAAGTTTTTGCTATGATTCTTAAGCAGTATAGGAAATAAGTTGACAAGGAAGAATTGAAAAGTATCCTTCTCTGGGCATCAAAAGTCGATCCTTCTATTGATTCCACTAATATTTATACCCCGGAGATTTGGGATAAATTTGGTGTTAATCTGTGGGACTGTGTTACAAAAAATGATGAAATTGCTGCCACTTTATTGAGCTTGTGGCAAGTTATTTCTGAAACTTTGAAAGTTCATGCCAGCTCACAAGCATAGGGAGCAGAAGAGGCACCTTCAGCTCCCTCACCATTGCCCTCTTTGTTGAACTCTGCTGTGAGATCAAAAAGTCAGTCTGCTGTTGTTGCTCCTGTAGTTCTCCCGCCTGATAATTCTGATGCTGACCTGTATGATCCTTTTGACCTGTGGCCTGTGGATCAGGAAAAAGCACCTGATTTATATACCCCGGATCCTTATGACAAATGTGCAGCTGTAAAGGGAGAAGCAAGACGGGCGGGGGATGCAGATAGATGATTGTGTGCTTTCCGTGTGGTGCATCTGCCGATCAAGACACGCGGTGGGAAGGTCTCTCCTATGCTCTTACCAAAGATTATCAGGCGAACGGTGACGGACCATGGACTTGGAGCCCCATATACAACTCATTTGATACAGTCTCTCTGTGATACTGATGTGTCTGAATTTTGTGTTTCAAATATTGTAATTGTGTGAAGTGTGCTTGTGGGATCCCTTGTGTT